GTGTTGTCAGTTTAGATGTACGTAGGTCGTGACTGTGATCACACTCGAACGTCGCGATGATGCTAAAGAGGAATTACTATTTGTCCGTAGACGTCTCCCACGTTTCCCAATTTTCCCATTTCCTCCGCTGCTCGTATTCGTCCGAAAAGCTCGTGTCCTTCGTCAAATTCGAGGCTAATCGGTCCTCTGTCATCCTCCCATCCTGACCCCTCGATCGCATGGAATTTAGTATCATTGAAAACGTGTGAGTGTCTTCCAAGTCACGCGGTCGGGACCCGCTCGGCCCAAATAATTACCACTATTCTTGCGTTAATGTGATTTTAGACAGCTAAGGGAGAAGAAGAAGAATGAAGTAGGACCCGAACTTAGCCGATCGGTTGCACGATCCGTCTGCACGATCATAAATCGGAAGGGAAAGCGTGTGCGCAACGTCGTTTCGATCGCGAACAATCGGCAATGAACAGTGGCTTCGTTACGGGTCCGGCATAAAGTTACCTATTACGTTATGACATTTATTTTTAATCAAACTAACGTAGAGAGTCCTATTTATACGTATACCGCGCCGCTATTACTACTTGTACTATTACTTGCTACTTATTACTATTACTTAACTACTACTTACCGCTAGCGTTACGATCTTATGGCGTTACTGTCGCTACTACCGCTGTTACCATCCGCTACCTTCTTACCACCACCTTGTGTTACCATTACTTGCTAACTGCGTAAGAAACATCGTCGACGTTAAGCACTCTTCGCCGCTGTGCGATATATCCAGCAGCAAAAACGTTTATCTCCTTTGGACGTAGAAAAATAACGGATCTGGACGATTGCACTGACGCATCTGGCGATCCATGCAGGCTACCGCACCCACCATTTATCATGGGCCAAGTGATCGAGACCGGTGCTATCGTAGGTCGATCGAGGAATCGTTGATCGTCGTTAAGTTGGCGCAATCTTCCCGGCATTGGGCCCTTGAAAATGCCCGCCCTTACACTCTCCTTCGGTCACCATACTTTTCCTCTTTTCTGTGTATGTTACTTGTCAACGTAAAAGTACAGCCCAGTAAACCGATCCAAACCGACACAGCGTTTATAATCGACAACATCGCAACGTTAATCTTACAATTAGTGCACCTAATTTCAGAAACACGCGTTACAACGCGCGGCGCCAGCCGCGACCGTCTTTTAACTTAACGAGAGGCAGAAAATACGTTAACGATACATGTATGTGCACAATAGGTATAAAATAATTACGTGTGTATACGTTACTCTCTAATCGCCGTGTGTATCCGCAAATGTTCAACGCTTCGTAAGGAAACGGAGAATTCAGGCTCGTCATCGAGTCGAATCATTCTCGATTTTCTTTCCTCTTCGACCTCTGCGCAATCATAGTTCCTATCCAGGAAATCGAGTTTCATCTCTCTCTCTCTCTCTCTCTCTCTCTCTCTCTCTCTCTCTCTCTTTCTCGTTCTCTATTTTTTCCTTCCACTTTTTTCTTCTTCCTTTTATTTCTTTTCTCGATTCATTGTCTATTCGGTACTGTTTCTTGCGTAAGAGTTATCGATTGCTAGTCGTGCAAGAGCTTCCGTAGAGCGATCTCTCGTTACGGAAGAGTACACGGAGAAAGGAGTAATTAACGCGGAGCACCATTAAACGGCGCTCGAGCAGACGTAATTCAATTTTCAAGCGAACGCTCGCGATTAAGTTGCGAGCAGCAGCGATAACAACGCTTTTCTCCGTGTAAACGAGCTTCATTGGCATTGGCCACGTGTGTGAAAACGTTTGCGGATGGATACGATCGCAGGTGTTCGGTGAAACAAAAACAATATGCCCGGCAAGAAAGCAAGGTACAAGTATTCGAAAAGGGGACACGATCGGTGCCTTCTTTTCGCGCGAAAATTAGGATAACGCGTCGGAAACGGACGGTTCCCAGTTATTTGATTTTTCGGCTGCTATTTCTGATCGTCCGTAACGGGAATAACTGATTTCCAATTAGCGATATTGCTCCCTTTTCAAGAGCAACGTATTAATATTTCATCCACGTCCACGGATTATGTGACGCGAAGTGGGAAACCGTACGTTTCCTTCGTGTGTGTGTATAGAGCGCATCGAGTCCAGAAGAGATTTAGAGGCTGAGAGGAATTCGTCAAATTAAACGGTGCTATTAGGCTAATTGTGATTAACGAGCGCTTAATGAATTCGGGAGTTCTTAAGTTTCGTACCTCGCTGAAGGAACATAGGGGAGGGAAGAATATTTTTGTTCCTATTACTTAAGAAAATTAAAGGAAGCATCGCGACCAGTTTCTAATCCCCTATTGGAGTGGAAACGATTTAACTCGTGATTAACGTGCTCCGGTTACGGTTCCACCAGATCTTTCCTGGACTCAACGCTGATTAGCGTTGCATTATTTTTTACGATGCTACGATATGTAATTCGCGCGCGCGCGCCTTCCCCGATTGCACAGAGGGGAATCCAGCAAGGAGGAGGGACAAAGAAAATGGTTAAAAAATTCTAGATAAAGAAACGAAGCGAGAAGGGAGTTATAAGAACGAAGCAGAATAAAATAAAGAAAAAAAAAAAAGAAAACGCAAAAGAACAAAGGGAATCTCGGATCGTTCGAACGTAGAAATATCTCGAATGAAGAACGAGATTGTCCGAAGTGTTGTTGTTAATTGTCATCGCTGTAAAACCAACAACGGCCAATTCCATTGGGTGTACTTTATCTTCTTCCCTCGATGTAACAATAAATGTTCAATCAACGGATGATTTCATTTTTGTTTTTCAGTTCGTCGTTTATTTTTCTTTCTTTTTCTTTCTATGGGGCGAAATAAAATTCACTCTTGCAATGTGGTACGTTCGATTTTCCGTAAGGATCGCGGTGTTTCGTGAGGAGTTCAGAATCGAAACACGTTCCCTTTCCGTCCAAACTATAAGATAGAATTTTTCCATTTTCGCTATCGAGCATTGTGTCGTTTTCCTTCCCTCAATCGAATTTTATAAAGTTATATACGAGAAACTAAAAAAAGGGGAAAAGAGAACAAGGGATAAAAGGAAGACAGACGAAAGAAAGGAAACGAAAGGAAAAATTGGAAGAATGGCAGACTCTCGTTTTCGTACGGACGTTTCTACAGCGATCGATCTGTACTCTGCCGCACGATATCTGCGGTTACAGCCATGTACACAACTTGCACGATTACTAAGCACACACCGGACGTGGTAGACGTTGCACCGAAAGTAAATGAACAAATTTACACACGTTGAATGTGTCCGCGCCGTGTATTGGTGAACAACTCTGTCGGTCATCGAGCACGCTGGAAGGATTCGTAAAATGAACGTGGGGGAAAGGGGAAGATGTGTGACGAGCCGAAGAAAAAGGAAATGCATGAAAAGAAAGGGGAAAGGAAACGATGAAAATTTAATGTCGATCGATAATGCCGATACGTATTGACGGCCGTATAATTGAAAAGGAGATGCGAATTTTAGAGATCGATCGACAGTTCGCCGATAATTTAATCAAGTACAATCTGTGTTCTCCTTGCAATTTGTTCACAACGACAATAAAAGGAATTGCAAGGGAAGTTTCCCGTTCACCGGCCTTTTCACCCCTACGACCGTCGATATCTAGCAACACGTTAACACGTCACACTGTTTTATTAACAATTTGTAAAATATTCTAATTCAAGGTGTTTTACCTGCGCGCACATTCACGAAACCTTCTTTCCGCGGCCTGATTCGTTGTAATTCTGTGCCGAATCACACAGTTCCCTCTCGCTTGGTTAATATATATATATATATATAACAAAAACACATTGCGACCATTATATTTTATAAATAAAAGAAAAATTGATATGTGATATAGATGGTAAGGCACGCGGACGATGCGTTGCGATGCATTACGAAAGCAAATGTATTCTGTATATCGTTTCATTAAATCTATTAAAATAACCGACGCTCTCCTTTCGTTTCAGTATCCCGGCTTGTTCACCACGACATTGTAACCCTTTACTAGCTATTCTGCACAATGGGCCATGTATTCGGAAGATTGTCAATAGTCCTTAAGAAATCGGACCGTTGTCGAGGGCTTTGTGACTGTATAAAGCGCACCTGGCGCTTAATACCAGTCCTGAAACCTACAATTTTTTAAGTTCCTTTTTTTCTAAATTTTACTTGTGACGTAATTCACACTATTGCATTCTTTATTTTTCCCAGGATCAAAGTGATTAAGAATAAAGAGAAATTTACAAGAGAAAAGACTGGAAGAATTTTTAAACTTTATTTCTTGTATCGGTTAACGTGCAATAAGGAGAATATTGTTGTTAACTCTTTATAGGTATTCATATTTTTTTATCTTTCTGCAGAATATTTTAAGAAATTTTATTTTTTATACAGATCTTATTGTTTTTTAGGGCTAAGAAACAATATGAAATTGGAAACGTGTGTGAATGCGAGTTGCATGAGTGCAGTTTTGCCTGGAAGTCTGCAGCTGCAACGTGGACGATTTCAAAATTAACCGGCATAACAGCTCATGTCCCACGCGTGCGCGGGAGCGCTGGCATCAGGCGTAGATGGCGTACATGTATCCGTATACGCGTGCGCGAAACAATTTCGCACGGCGCATATAGAAAATAGTCCGCGCTCGAAGAGACACGACGATCACTTCGAGAAACGTGACACTCGTGACAGTAGTTTTGCAACGTTTACGAGATCTACGACAGGGGCCGAAAGAAGAACGACCATTCAGTGTAGGACATACATCGAGCATATTATCGCCTCGTATTAACGATCAGGAGGTTTGTCTCTACGTACAACGCGCGAGAATATCAAAGGGCGCGGATATTACTACGCCGCACGTTGTGGAAGGAAGCAGAAATCGAGTACTGGCAGGAAGTGGGTAGAAGGGGGTACGTCGTTGAGCTAGTTGATTCGGTGGTGGCTACATGTGGCTGTCCGCCGGTCGCGACAACGAAACATTTCCTATCAAGGCATAAGAAGTTACATTTCCCAACGGTAATCGATAGCCGAAAGAAGCTGAAGCCATGCAGATGGATCCAACGACAGTACAACTTATCCAGGTTCTAGAAAAAACCGTCTCCTCGAGTAAGTCATTTTGATTAATCGGCCTTTCAGATTACTAGCGACATCATGGAATCCAGACTAAATTTTCTCGTTTACTTTATTCTCCTTGACCTTGCTATCATTTTATCGTTGCCTTATGAGACATATAGTATCCTGTTTTATCGAATTCTTCTTATCACTCTCGCGACCTTGCCAGAAAAAGTAAAGACCCACCGCGTGCGCGTCCTTTTTGTACTCCTTCCGGTGTAGTCATGGGGCACTAGTCATGATTGTTAGTTAATCGTTTCGTTAATCTTTCGACATTTTTTCGGCATCGATATGTTAGCATTTAAGCAGGATCTTTCATTTGTACGAAAATACGACGTATTGTGTTCCGCTTGGCTGTTGCTAGGGGCTTTGTTCATGGCCGGAAAAGTATTGTCCCATGTGACGGTTACTCGTATTGCATGTCCCCGTTGTCGGTTGGCACAGCGAGGACTGGTGCATTTTGCTTTTCTAACCTATATCGTTACTTCATCTTTTTTTGCAGTTTGACATTAATAAAATGCATACGTAGACGATTCGATATTAATTGTCTGTATTTTTACTCGCAATTCTAGATAAAAATGAATTGGAAGCAGCACAGAACTTTCTGGAGCAAGCAGCAAGAGCTAATCTTGTAAGTTGTTTCTTTTTAGAAGCTGATGTAGCTTTTTGGTTAGAAAAATATATAATGATTGCAGAGGATAAGGAAAAGATTCGTTTTTCTTTCTTTTAGCATGAATTCTTGCAAAGACTTAGCGGCGTGCTGGTTAATGCCACGGCATCGCCAGTTGCTCGCATGGCAGCTGGCCTTCAACTTAAAAATCAACTTACATCCAAAGATCCACAATTGAAATATCAATATCAACAACGTTGGCTTGCCATTCCTGTAGAAACGAGGGAATATATCAAGAAAAATGTAAGGAAATTTTATTTGTTTGCAGATTTTATCGCAATCTTGCATTCTGGGCATTTCTTTGGTTAAAGGAGCAAAAATTTGTGACAATGTTATATTTATTCGTGAATAGATTTTTGGGGCACTTGGAACGGAGAACAGTAGGCCTGGTTCTGCGGCTCAGTGTGTTGCATACGTGGCAGTTGCCGAATTACCTGTTCGTGAATGGACCAATGTCATTCAGCTGTTAGTTAGCAATGTTGTAAATCCAAACAGCACAGAGATAATGAAGGAAGCAACATTAGAAACAATTGGTTACATTTGTCAAGATATCGAAAGCGATGTTTTGGTACCTCAGTCTAATGAAATTCTCACCGCTATTATTCATGGTATGAAAGGATCTAGTACTTCGCATCATGTTCGTCTTGCAGCTACAAGTGCACTTTATAATTCGTTAGAATTTACCAAAGGAAATTTTGAGATAGAGGTTTGTATAATTTACAAAATAGGTTATAAATTTTGCATAGAAGAATATCGTGTGATTTATTTTTGTCACTTATCTATACAGACGGAGAGAAACTTCATCATGGAAGTGGTATGCGAGGCAACACAATGTTTAAATACGCAAGTTAAAGTAGCTGCTTTACAATGTCTCGTGAAAATTATGTCCTTGTATTATCAGTACATGGAGCCTTATATGGCCCCGGCACTCTTAAATTACTTTAGAAGCTATGAAGTCAGATATCGATGATGTTGCACTACAAGGAATTGAATTTTGGTCAAACGTATCAGAGGAAGAAGTAGATTTAGCCATGGAAGAGGGCGAAGCTACCGACGGTGGTCGACCACCAGTCAAAGTATCGAGGCATTACGCAAAGGGCGCTTTACAGTTTCTGGTACCTGTTTTGATGAAAAAGCTTACCAAACAAGAAGAATTCGACGACGAAGATGATTGGAATCCCTCGAAAGCGGCTGGAGTGTGTTTAATGTTACTATCCACTTGCTGCGAGGATGATATCGTTCACTTCGTTCTTCCTTTCGTAAAAGTCCACATTAACAGTCCAGACTGGAGGTATCGAGACGCAGCTTTAATGGCTTTTGGCTCTATTCTTGGAGGTGTCGATACTGATAACCTGAAGCCATTGGTAGAACAAGCAATGCCAACGCTAATCGAACTAATGTATGACAGTAGTGTCGCAGTAAGGGATACCGCAGCATGGACCTTTGGTCGAATTTGTGAGATCATACCGGAAGCGGCGATCAACGAGGCATACTTTGAACCTTTGTTAGAAGCCTTGATAACCGGACTAAAGGCAGAGCCACGCGTTGCAGCGAATGTTTGTTGGGCATTTACTGGACTTGCAGAGGCTAGCTATGAAGCTGCAGAAGTCGAGGGACAAACTCCAGAAACGTATTGCATGTCTCAGTACTTCGATTTCATCATTCACAAATTGCTAGAAACGACGGATCGTCCAGATGGAGTTCAAGCAAACTTAAGATCGGCTGCTTACGAGGCACTGATGGACATGGTGAAGAACTCTCCGCGTGATTGTTACGTGACCGTTCAGAGAACGACAATGGTAATTCTGGAGAGATTGCAGCAGGTACTGCAAATGGAGACACATATCCAGAGCAACACGGATCGCGCCCACTACAATGATTTGCAATCATTGTTGTGCGCTACCCTGCAGTCCGTGTTACGCAAAGTTACACCGGAGGACGCTCCGCATATCTCTGACGTAATAATGACAGCATTATTGTCCATGTTCAACTCGAATTCTTGCAAAGCCGAGGGTGTACAGGAGGATGCACTCATGGCCGTTACGACTCTAGTCGAAGTACTCGGAGAAGGTTTCTTGAAGTATATGGATGCGTTTAAACCGTATCTCTGCCTCGGCTTAAAGAACCACGCAGAATATCAAGTTTGTTCAGCCGCTGTGGGCCTGACTGGTGACATCTGCCGTGCATTAAAAAGCAAGATGTTACCCTATTGCGATGAGATCATGACTTTGTTACTGGAAAATCTTAGTAACAACACGGTTCATCGTTCCGTGAAACCACAGATCTTCTCTGTTTTCGGCGATGTCGCCCTCAGTATTGGCCCGGAATTCAAAAAATATTTAGACGTGGTACTTCAAACTTTGGCTCAGGCTTCCCAAGCGAACGTAGATAGAAACGATTATGATATGATCGATTACCTGAACGAACTACGCGAGGGTGTCGTTGAAGCTTACACTGGTATAGTACAAGGACTGCGCGGTGACACGTCGAATCCTTGTCCAGATGCTGCAATTGCTCTAGTGGAGCCGCATGTGCCCTTCATTATCCAGTTTATTACGTCGATAGCACAAGATCGTGAACATTCTGAAGGCAACATTTCAGCTTCGGTGGGCTTGCTTGGTGACTTGGTAACCGTGTTTGGGGTAAAACTTTTGCCAATGATAGAGACTGAACAAAAAAAACGCTCACGCAACTCATAACCAAGGCTAAACGATCACGTACTGAAAAGACCAAGGCTTTGGCTAATTGGACAACCAAAGAGATTCGAAAGTTCAAGAATGTTGCTAACTCCACGTCCAGTTGGTGAGTAGCAATCTTTCATTGATATATTGAAGTTTTTCTAATTTTTTTGTTTTCTTTTTTTTTTTTTTTTTTTTTTTTTTTTTTTTTTTAATTCCATTTTCGTGTGGATTATGTGTGGTGCGTGAATAGTCGATCACCTATTATCCGTATCAACTTACGTTTAATTATCGCTCTTTCCATCTCATTCTTTACCACACCCCTCTCCATTTTACGCTATTACCTTTAGCTGTTTCTATGTAACTTAGCTGCTAAGAATCAGATCAGTTTCTCGACGAACGATTTTTAATGCTATATAGTTAGCAAATACAAAGAAACAAGAAGCACGAATGTATAAAGTATCATTATAGTATCAAAGATGCAATAGGAGTGGATGGTGATGGAGAATACTGCTAATTCTGGAAATTGGATCAAGCTGTAGCTCTGTCTTTTTAAACGAAGAATATTTCATGAATTATCTAGTCACGTAGCTATCATTCGTTCTCGTTTAAAAAAACGAAAGCTATAACTTCACCTATGCCTCAGAACTATTGTATATAATACAGTCTCGTTTTGTCGTGGTTGTTTACGAACTCCTTTGTCTCGTCGTAGTCCCGTCCCGTGTATAGACACGTGCACTCGACACAATGACCCCCCGTATCAGAAATCAAGTCGGGGAAGAAAAAGAAAAGAAAATAACAGAAAATAGCAATAGAAATTCGAAAAAATAAGAAATTCAAAAATACGTTAAAAAAATATGCATACACACACCGAGCGGTGAGCGACGGTTATTGATATTTGGCTCGCTTTTGTTGTTTACAGATCACCCCACGGTTGTCGTGCAATTTAATTTGACTAGAGAGCTATCGAACACAATACAAAGACAACAAGATTGGATGGTGCGGATGCGAGTTGATGGATGTGCGTGAGTTTCGAAGCGATGACGATGATGGGGTGATGAGTCTGCACGTGTCCCTGCTCTGGCGACGGTATTCGAGTACCGACACGTCGAGCGCAGCCCCATATGGTCGAGAAAATAAATACCTGTCTGCCGGATGTCTACCGACAACGGATGATGAGGAATGCAAGTGGATGTTGCCGATGAATGAGCCAAGGCCGAAGCCTGCCGAGATGTTCCGGTGATGCAAGTATGCCTGATAACGAACCTGGGGCTTCTACCTGCGTGATTGAGAAGTTGAACCTGAGGAAAGGACGACTACGATGGACGGTGATCGTGGCCAATGTGAGAGAGAGAGAGAGAGAGAGAGCGAGAGAGAGAGAGAGAGAGAGAGTGAAAGGGAAAGAAAGAGAGAGAGAAAGAGAGAGAGAGAGAGAGAGAGAGAGAGAGAGAGAGAGAGAGAGGAAGAAAGAGAGAATGGACGAACGAAAGAAGTGAACGAAGAAGAAAATGCAGGGAAACCAAACGAGAGAGAGCGAGACTGTAAAGCTGTAGAAGCAAGAATATGTTCTAGTAAATGAACGTAAGAATGATTTGTTAATATGTATATGTGTGTAAGAATCACAGAGAGTCTGTGTGTACAAAATAAAACGTGTCACCATTGAATGAGCGATTATATTACACACGTCGTCTCGTCGAGAAAGTTCAATTATGCGCAACTCGTTGTAAAGCTCCTAGCTTTTTGTCCTCCTGTAGCTTTGTCAACGAAGCCCGCGATCTGTTTCCGATTCCTTGATGAACGATCACACCATCACTCGTTTGAAGCAATCGAAGCATCATCGAATGACTGTTGTTGGCGTGATTTGACGTTAATGAACGAAAATAAATGGTCGTCAGATTGCTGGTTGCTACTTCGATGCAGCGAAGTGATGCGTGAGTGGCAGTTAAACTAATACGAGAGAAAAAGAGAAAAAGAGGTAAGTGTGAATGCGTGTGAGGAGCGTCACGAATGTTGAATGATTTTCTAGAAGAAAACAAAAAAAAAAAAAAAAGAAACTATCGAGAAGATTCGAAATAATGGTGACCCCTGGTCCGATCGTGCTGCGCGAGAATCTAAATGATCAGTTTGTAGTATGATGGTGATGATGCGTATGTTACTTTTTCCCCGTATGCGAATGTCTGTTGCTGTTGATTCATTAAAATTAATATTTTGCTGGCATAAGTTATTGAGTTGTACCGAAGTCCTCGTCCGGCCTGAACGTTCGAGTAAAAAAAAAAAAAAAAGAAAAAAAAAGAAAAGAAAAGAAGCGAGAAAAAAAAGAATTAAACTTGATCGAGTTATCCAGCCCCAAAAATACATTATATACAAATGTAATCCTGCGCGCGAGCGAAAGCGATTTTATGCGATCACGGTATCGTTCATTCGAATCTTTCGTGGCTCTCCAACGGAATATCGAACGAGAGCTTTTCGCACTGCCATTAACATTAAAACAATGACGTGTACGCTCTGTCTCGGCACACGTATCTCAGATCGTTCATTTCTTCCTTTCCATTCAGCGTGCTCCGGGTAATATCCGGGGCTCGTTTCGCGTGAGCGTTTACCGAAAAGATTCGTCTTCCTGGCCTCGTATCGTTATAGGAGGGCGTTTGTCGATTATCGGATGACGGAAAAACAAAAAAGAGAAAAAATAAGAAGAGAGAAAAAACCGTTTCGATGACGTTGCTCATTTTTTTTCGCACGTTATTCCGGTGCCCGCTGGAAAACGAATACGGTGATCGCGTAAAGATTACAAGGGATCGAATTTGAAAGGGAGATGATCGATACAATCGAACTGCGTATTATCGAGTTGCATTCATGAGCTGCACCACGATAAATCAAACGAGTTGTACGTGAATAGATAGATAAATTTGTTCAAGAAGTCGGACATTGAACTGGGGGATATTCGAATTGCCTGATCGCGCAAGGATTACGCAGCTTAAACTATTTTTTGGTTCTTCCTTTCTCTTTTTTTTCTTCTTTTTTTTTTTTTTTTTTTTCTCCTTTTAATATATCTACACACACATATCCCCTGTTACACGTACATTTCGAATCTTGAAACGACCGAGACGTTGCGCGAGCTGAGAACGTGTCAGGCTCCTTCAACGACGCGACAATTTTTCGATTCTCCTACGCGGATCTTCGTCAGTGAACCTCGCAAATTTTTGTAGCTTTACCTTTGTTGGAGGTATTCGTGTAACGCAATATTTAGTAAGATTTTACACGAAAGATTAAGCGGACGGTCGGTCGCTCTAATAATATAATACGAAGTTACGTCACGTGGTCGAAACGTGGCTGTGCTAGTGCCATGCATTCCAAATACTTTTGCCAGCAGAAGCACACTGTGTGACCGTTCTTTCGCGATGTTCGAGTATATTTTATAACGATTTCATTCTTGACTAACACACTTTTTCCGTGAACGCCTCGTTTGCGCAAAGTTTTACGTACAGACACGATAACGAACGAAGAGGATTATTAGCTGATGATCGCGGCGAGATTCGAATCGAAGTCTAGGCTGAGAGGGGGTTAGGGAAGGGTGGTGTCTTATAAGGAGGGAACCGCCTCGAACGGGGTAAACGTGTTTCGACGGAACAAACACACACACACCAAAAAGAAAAGAAAAGAAAAAAAAAAAAGGAAAAAATGAGGCAAAAGAAAACATTGGAAAAAATATGGAGGAAAGATGAGAAAAGGGAAACAAGATTGACGTGCAAGAAGAGACGCAAAAGGACAAATAGGGAATTGACGAGAAACGATTATAAACTAAGATACTTTTTATTAAATTGATTATCTTTTTTACAATTTTACATATCGAGGGAAACCAATGTGTTTGCTCCACGTCTGGATATAAAAATAAATATATATACGTATATAATTTTTTTACTGTTGCGAACGATATTGCCAAACTTAGCGTATAAGGAAGAAAAACGTCTATCTAGCTTTTAAAAGGGGGAAAGGAAAGCAAGGAAACAACAGAGAAATGAAATGGGAATAGGAAAATCGTTTCGGCGAGCCGCTCGTTACGTAGACTGGAGCCTAAACCTTGATCTCTTTGCGATACACATTTCACACGCGTACACACATAGACACGTGCACACATGCCCGCAGAACACGAACACATACGTATACGCGCGACATGCAAATTCTCCGTACATTGTTTTATCTCGCGGTTGATCCTTTCGATTTCGAAGCAGAACGAAATTCTCGCAGACGAAACACGGTGTCTTCCAATCGCGAAAATTTCTCCTCCTACGAAAAATACAGCTTTGCCTTACAGTTTTCACGATGGCGAGTGCCGTCATCGATTTACCGAAGCCGATGTCTCGATGAGTCCCAGAAAGGAAAATAAAAGGGAAAGA